GCTTTCTGATGAGCTGGATATTCCACGGCCTAACCTTTATTATCGGATGTTGATATGGGGTTATTGTTTCTGGGTCATGGGTATTTCATACATCATCCCGAGAATCTCTTTTCTGGACAAGATAATGATTTCGGTACGAAGCCATACGCACGTTTACTCACAATTATTTATACATTCTGCTAACATGTCAACTCTTCAGCTCCGCCGAAAGTATTTCTACAGGCTCATTCTCGACGAAAAAATGGGTCTTGGGGAGGAGTCACGCTTCGAGTTCAAATATGTTCCAACATTAACTCGCACAACTCGACTTGGAGAGCGGAGGAGCACTAAGTTTGAGCGACCTGGTATTGAGAGCTTGGCACATCTGGGACTTCTAGCTGCCCTCACTGCAGTAGTCACTCTGGCCGTGGGATTTGGATTTGCAACGAGAATGATTCCTGCGCATCAGTTTTTCTTGGTGGTTTGAGTATATTGTTGTGTTTAGTAAAGTGTTCTAATGTGACCATCAATTTTGTCTATGTATATGCTTGAATAATGCGAATATTTTCCAGGTTAGTATCTATTGGCCCTATACATCGATCGTGCGGCAGAAATACCAAGAGCGCCGTATGTTATTTAATCGGGTTTAACGTCCCTGCTGCAGCGCGATGTCAGACAAGCATAGTGGCTTGCATTCTCCAAGAACTTGTCCATTACAATAGTCTCAGGCTCAAAGTCCAACATTGACAACAAACACCGCCTCCAGGATCACCGGTCAACTCCTACAGCAATGGTTCCATGAAGCGAAATCGAACCACACACACCGCGCCACTCCTGCTGACGGGTCCGACATGTACCATGAACGGCCAAAGCAGAGCGGTGCATTCGGTTGAATCGAGAATATCTTACGAGGTAAAGACCCTGGATTGAAGATCTCCTCGTGGATCAGCGATAGAACCGACATTACGCCTCAGAGTGAACGCCTTTTCAGTGGTGAAAATACAAGGCTGGTGCCGACCATTTTGCCTGAGGATGCTACTGGCAAAATTGCGTTCCGATCCTACACTACTAAAGATGCCAAGCCGAACGTGGGAATTGGTGCCTCTTCCAGTCTGTTCTCGTTAATCTATGATGTCGGCAACTGGCTGACCTTTGATTCGTTGCTTTGGGGTGGTCTTACCACTGATCTGTGAATCTTTGACGTTGAGAAAGATGGAAAGGTTAAGGCTGTGATACCGGCTGCCTACAGAGTAAAGATGGAGAAGAAGTGATCGGATCACAACGGAAGAAAATACGAATTTTTACAGACTGATAACTTAGTTGAATTTATACCTTGCTTCTATATACATATGGATCTGAGGCTCGTTAATCAGTATCCATCACGCTTTCCCTCGGCCTTAGTTGTACCCTTGGCCTTTTCTAATTCGCGCAGCATCCCATCACCAAAGACACCAACATCAGTAATAATAGAAACCATATCAAAGCCCTGCTGCGAGCGTCTAAGAGCATCATCACCGTCAGAACAGAAGATGGCAGCCTTCTTGCCGGCAGACTTAGCAGCCTTCAAAACACGCAGAATAGCAGCCTCATGCTCCTCACCACCACGAGTAACACGCATCTGCTTAGCAAGATCAAAGGGTCCTACAAAAAAAAGCGAATTGTCAGCAAACATCCCAAAACCCAGTGTCCCAATACCAGACTCACCAATAAACAGCACATCAAGCCCCTCAACATTAGCAATCTTCTCCACATTCTCAACACCAGGCCTCGACTCAATCTGTACAACAACCAAAACCTCCCCATGAGTCTTCTCATCATACTCGGCCGGCTTAACGCCAGGGAAAGAATGCGGCGCAAACATAGGTCCATAGCCGCGCACTCCGACAGGCGGGTACTTGCAGTAACTAACGACCTTGGCGGCATCCTCTGCGGTGTGGCACATGGGAGTCATGATTCCGTGAGCGCCTGCGTCGAGAGCGCGCTTGATCATCCATTCTTCGGGCCAGGGGACGCGGATGATTGGGCTAGCGCCTTCATGGCCGATGGCGTTTGTGAGCTATCATCAGGCGTTAGTGGGGTTTTCAATGGGTTCATGAGGATGGTGGATTAGTGTAGTGTATACCTCGTAGTAGTGGCTATCGTTGATCAGGCCATGCTCGGCATCAATGAGGACCCAGCTGAATCCGCCTTCCGAGTACTCGGGGCTGCGGCGGAGGATGGTCTTTGCGACGGCGGCGCTGGGGAGACTATAGAGGGAGGGTTATCAGCTGGGTGTTCTTGCGATGTATGTTTGTGCTCCTAGCGAGATCAATCCCTTCCAAATGTCTCTTTTAATGGATTGAAGCTTTGTCAAGCTGCCCCTCTAAACGCGGGGTTCCAATGGGGTCCCAACATACGTCAACCAGAAGCCATAAGACACGGGCTGGCTTTGCAGCGCGGAGCGGAGTGTGACAGCAGACATAATGGAGGTAGAGAAGATGATGTCTTTTCTGAGATTGAAGAGTTACAGAAGGGATGTTTCCCAAATGACTGCGTCTTGGAGAGGGACACTCGGGGTTGCTCCGACCGACTACCCGAGGGCCACCCCCACGGCGTGTTTTGCTACAGTTGTTATTTATATGATTTATTCGTTGCTAAATTCCGGTCAGTGAAGTAGAAATTATAGCGCCTATAATATCTTGCTACTATTTAATCTGGTTGCTGTATAGTATATCACTTGCATTGGCATGTCTGAAGCTGAAGCTGTTGGGGAATGCCCCACGGGGATTGCCACCGCGTGGAGTGCTCGGTGGTGGACTTCCCCGAAGGCCGAAGTAACTTGGGCTTGAATAGTTGCATTCACGCTGCGAATATACATAATAACTTGGTCTATATCAGCGGGCAAAAAGGCACGAGGTATATAAGAACGGTTGTACTTGGTCACAATCCCTGTTAGCACCAGTTGTTCTACATCTAGGGTTCTAAGCAAGCAGCTGTATCTTAGGACGGTAATAAATCAGTTTACTCATCCTGGATGTCCGGTTCAAGAGGTAGCAGGGCTATTATGAATCTTTTAGGTCTTGCTAACGGTCATATCTAACGCCTTTGTGCATATAATCGGCGATGTATATACCTCTCGAGCAGGCTTGTATATTTCGTCTTACGGCTTGTGAGAAGAGGAGCCTTTTGTTAGAATAGAAACTCCTTGAGCAGATCGATCTCGCCCATGCCTAGTTGCTTGTCTGTGGGTTTGTCACTAGCCTAGACTTCGATCTATTCGGGCCGAAAATGTGATATGATTACGGCGGTAGGCCTAGTAGCTTCTAGCTTGAAGATCTAACGGGATTTGATCCGGCATTGCATATTTACTTACACAATAATTTAAGCAAGAGCCCAGTTCGAGTCAGCTTTGCAAATGTCGCTATTTGATGTACAATAAGTCTAGTCTCTTAGATAATTCTTGTCAAAATCCACTAGGATTGAAGAGTAATAATCTTGGCGTGACGTTCACCAAGATACTTGGAGAGGGCTTTTTGAGCGGGATCCCTTTTTCATATAATCATAACTATCGCTATCGTGCAGATGCTATGACTCTATTTCAATACTACATATGCTAGTACCTAGTCCACCTACCCCTACCCTATGGTGTCTGGATTAGCGGGGTCTAAAGAAAGAGTGGCGGTGGCTAAGAATCTAGTGAGGAAATCTTATATCGGAGATTATCGTTGTATTGCGGTTACGTTTTAATCACGCTTAACGTATCCTCGCGGATATGTATGACGTCTACGCCAAGCTGGACAACGATCTGTCTCCTATACTTTCATTTTTGATAGTCCACATAAACGAATGAAACAGGGTTGGGCTTTACTTCTAAGATGGAGGTCAGCGAAATCTTTTGTTTCAGATTGGGGTCACATACTCCACATCCCTTGCAGGTGCATGTATCGCCACAAGAGCAGCTTTGGGCGCCGCCTGTGCAGGTGCAGGTTGATCCACAGTCACAGCCCATGTTGAGTTGAATATAAGTTGGTTTGGTTTGGTTTGGGTAAAGTAACAGTAAGATGGTAAAATGGTAAGATGGTAAGGTGAGATTGCCTCTGCCCGGGTGGTCACACATTATATACGGGTTGGGGCTACAGCATCATCATGGCGTCAGTGAAACGTAAAACGGTGGTGGCTTCCGACAAGTTGAACAAGCTGAACCAGTCCAGCATCAACTTCTACTTAATATGCATACAGGCTAGGGTGCTCTACTTTAGGGTGTAGATCGTGCTCTGTGCTTTGTGGAGCTTATAGATCGTGTGCACGGTAACCCCAGACCTTCAGACGTGAGCTAACTTAAGCCAACTTGAGCCAACTGGTTATTACCTTACTATATAGTCTAAATCAACCTAAAAATATAGTGAATACGTACGCTAGAGAAAGATAGACTGTATCTGGCGGCTAACTCGCCCGTCACAAAATTAGAGGCTCAGAGAGTCCGCAGTGGATCAGGTGAGAGACGTGGAGCTCGAAGTGATAGAGCTGTGTGCCCGAATCCTCCTTCCTCGCGATTTTCGAAAACAGCAAATTCCCTTATTCCTTCAAGCTTGCATTGTGCTCACACTCGTGATTCATCGTCGTGCTCCACCTCTCGATAAGCATCTCCGCCCGACCTCGCGGAGTCAACCTCGTGATTTTCTCTCTCTACCTTGTGACTCCAACAGCTCCGGTTATTTATCGGACTATCACTTCAGATCTGCTCACCTGGTTCTCTGAGCCGGGGGATTGGGCAGATCTAGGCTATCGAGCTGGCTCACTCCTCACCTTATCACCCCTATATCGCCTCCGACGACCCCGATCCTCTGCCCTCGGTAGACACTCCCGACTCCCAGATCCCGACAGCGTCACTTACGTCGACTCGTCCATCCCGCCGCCGTCGTTCAAGTAGTCCCCTTGGTTCCGCAACGGCGGGGATCACACTTCCTACACGCGAGACCGGTACCCTCTCCGGTCGATCGGACGGCCGTTCACCCTCCCCCAAGCGCAGGCGCCTGGCAACCATGCGTCCCGATGGCATAAAAACAGAGAACGGCTTCTCTGAGGCTTCGAACGGGTCCTTCCCGTCGACTCCGAGAAAAGTTGGTCTGAACGGGTCGAGCTCTAACGGAAGCTCCCATACCAACGGTTCAAGAAAGGCGAGCTCTACCTACTACGGACATAACCGGGAAGAGGTGTCGCGGATCCTGATACAAAGTCTGTATGAGTTGGGCTATACAGAGTCGGCGTCGAAGTTAATATCCGAGAGTGGTTATGAGCTGGAAACGTCGGGGGTCGCAACTTTTCGAAATGCGGTATTAGGTGGAAGATGGTCGGAGGCAGAGAGAATCCTACTTCATTCATTTCGGAATATTGGGTTACAACAGGAAGACCAGAAGTCTGTACCGGAGGAGACACTGGTGTTAGCGGAGGATGCCGACAGGAACGAGATGCTGTTTTATCTACGGCAGCAGAAGTTCCTGGAGCTACTCGAGGCCCGCGATCTGGCGTCGGCACTTGGAGTCCTTCGGCAAGAGCTGACACCGTTGAATTTTGATGTAGAGCGCCTTCATGCTCTTTCAAGGTATGCACGTCTGTTGATTTGCTGATAAAACTGCTTGCTGGTTGACTGACTCGCCTTTCAGTCTTCTTATGTGCCCGACCGAAATCCTACACGAACAAGCGGGTTGGGATGGGCCTGTCAGCTCATCACGAGAGCGACTCCTCGGCGAGCTGTCCAGTAAGCACAGCTTTACTTACCAGGACCTGTATCAGATTTGCTAACAGCGCAGAATCCATCTCTCCCTCCGTCATGATCCCCCAGCATCGTCTTGCACACTTACTAGATCACGTCAAACACACCCAAATCAACAACTGTCTATATCATAATACCGCCGAGCCCCCGTCTCTCTACTCCGACCACATGTGCGACCGAAACGACTTCCCATTGGAAGTTAGCGCGCGCTTGAGTCATCACTCAGATGAAGTTTGGTATTGCGAGTTCTCTCACGATGGCACCAAGTTGGTCACTGCCGGCAAGGACCACCACGTGCTTATCTATGATACAAGCGATTTTTCAGTTTTGAAACGGCTTACTGATCACGAGGAGGGCGTTGCTTTTGCCAGTTGGAGCCCAGATGACTCCAAGTTGATTACATGCTCGCAAGACAAGAAGGCTCGAGTGTGGAGCGTCGAGGTAAGATTTTTCTTCGAAATTGATCATGAAGTTTCCGAGGACATACTAACTGGACGTTTTAGACTGGCGTTTGTCTGCTTACTATCAATCACCACCGCCAACCAGTCACGGCGGCCGCCTGGGCTGCAGATGGGGAATCTTTTGTGACGGCCTCTCTCGATGCTGAATCTCAACTTCGACACTGGAGCATGCGGGGCCAACCCTTGCATTCATGGAAAGGCGGATTCCGCGTGCAGGACTGTGCTATCAGTGCAGACGGGCGACGCCTTGTTGCCGCCGACACGGAGGCTAAGATTCATGTGTACAACTTCATGACTTACGAGGAAGAATACTCCCTTCCGCTACCAAGCAAGCCGACCTCGGTTGCTATCAGCCAGGATTCACTACATGTGCTTATCAATTTGGCCGAGGGGGAGATTCAACTCGTCAATATGGAGACTACCGCTTTGGTACGTCAATTCCGAGGCCAGAAGCAGGGCGAGTTTGTGATTCGCAGCACATTCGGTGGAGCCGCTGAGAACTTTATCGTGAGCGGAAGCGAAGGTGAGTATTTCAACCCCGGGAATATCATGCTACTAACCCTCCCTAGACTCGAAAGTCTACATCTGGCACAAAGAGAACGGCAACCTCGTTGAAACATTGGAAGGACACGAGAAGGGCTGCGTGAACTCAATATCATGGAACCCAAGGGACCCGGGAATGTTCGCCTCGGCAGGTGACGACGAGTCAGTAAGGATGTAAGCTAACTATCACTCTCACCTTTTACCCTCAAATAAGGCTAACCTATCCCAGCTGGTCCCGAGAAAACAATCGGTCACGCCCAACAGCGCCTATTCAACAGAGTGGGCTATCATCAAATGGGTTCACACGGACGAGTGCGTTGAGATCCACCTCGGCTTACTGAGCCCTGAATCCGGTCCGGACCTGAACTGGAACATGTGTACTGCATATCGAGAATGCCTATCATGACTACCTAGGAATGCATTTTTCACGCTCCTTGCTCATTCGCTGTCTTTATCTTATTTTTTTTACTTATGTTCTCTGCTGTCTCGTATCAAGGTGGAGGCATCTATCTTACCCGGTGCATTGGTGCTTTTGTGCTTTGGATTGAAAGACGATAAACCTGCTTCTTGCAATTACGTTTCTTTTTTTCCTTTTCCCTCACTTTCTTGTATCGGGATACCTGTGGCTCTTTTTTCCCTCTTGGGTCTGAGTTTGGTTTGCCGGCATGTCCTCTTTATCCTCCGATCCCCATATAAATCGTAAAAAATCCCATTTTGGGTTTGTTTTGGTTTCTGAACTTAGGTTTTGTAGCTAGCATCAGGAAGCCGGCGCCATTTGTTTTGAATCTTTCTAGGTAAGGGACACAGATACCAGGTACCTAGGTACAGATCAGAAAGATAACGGCACTTGATATATTACCAAGACAATGCTTAAACAAGGGTGACAGATTTCAATGCATGTCTTGCTTCAAAAAGTCTAATAACTGTCAGTTATTGCTTTGATGAATATGTGTGTTTCCCCTTCTGACCATCAGATACCCAATCAGATCTTACAACCCATTTTATACGAGCTTTTTCTTCATGATCTGGAGCGAGCAAAAATAAGCCCCTAGAAGCTGGATTTATTAGCAATTTGATTGTGAGATGCCGGGAGATATAAACATTTCCTGCAGCTTTCTAGCGAGTATTGGCCCGCTCGAGCAGGCGCTCACAGATGGCTTGCTTTGTGAAGTATTGCCTGGTCTTTCGTCCTACATCCATACGTAATATGGCAGCTACGGCACAATATACGCTGTGCAGGGTCAGAGGGGATAGGTTCTCCATGTTAGAGTATAGATGCTGCTCCAAATCCTGCACAAGAACACTTTGCCTCGCACGGTGAGGGAGCTGCTATTCCTACCAAGGTTGCGGACCATACATAATCCCACACTCTTTTAACCCTCCATCCTAAACGCACATCATCTCGTTCATGTCAGGGTTCGATACTCGGTTTAGGTCTCTTGACCCTAGAGTAGATACATCCTCACTGCAGGCATTGCATTAGCCCAGTGAAGCAGGGTTTGTGTCAGGGCTGCTCTACGAGAGAGGTGGTGCAATATTGAAAGTAAATTTGATTCCATCATTCATAATTCCCAATATCAAAGATTAAAGCAAACGAAACTCCGAGGACTGAAGGAGGCTACTACTGAGGCCCCTCGATCTCAAATTTTGAAATAAACAGAATCGTAAACACCGCCAGGGATGTACAAGTTGATTGGCATTCTTATCCTGTAAACACAGTCAGTATCTGCCGATGAGTATGTTGATGCAATTTACTTACTGATACGTATGTATCCCTTTCCTCCACGCTAGGGCTGGCATTGCATTTGCCCTTTTCTCCCGGTATGTCAAGTTTTGAGTCATATCCAACCACGCACGCAGAACCCAACCGATTCAAGAAGCTCAGAAATGCTGCTGCCGAGTCGATTGAAGAAAGATCTTGTAGATACAAGATCCAATAAGGCGATTATGAAAGCAAGTCCGCAACTGTTATGAATGATTAGCGCCGTTATTAGTTTGATAAGAATCCGGGGTAGCTTACCGTTCATTGGCATCTCATCAATCTGGGTGGAGTAGTACAATTCGATATCACGCAGGATACGGACATCATCGCTAGTGACAAAGTTGATAGCCACACCCTTGCGGCCGAAACGACCACTTCGACCGATACGGTGAATGTAGTTCTCGCGGTTGGTAGGAAGATCGTAGTTAATGACAAGGGAGACCTGCTGGACATCGATACCACGGGCCCACACATCAGTGGAGATGAGGACACGAGAGTTACCCTGGCGGAAGTCTTGCATAATGCTGTCACGCTCCTTCTGGGGCATCTCGCCGTGCATGCTGGAAACAGTGAAGTTGGCCTCACGCATCTTGTCGGTGAGCCAGTCGACCTTGCGGCGGGTGTTGCAGAAGATGACTGCCTGGGTGATGGTCAGGGTGTCGTAAAGATCGCAAAGTGTGTCGAACTTCCACTCCTCCTTCTCCACAGCAATGAAATACTGCTTAATACCCTCCAGGGTCAACTCGTCACGCTTGACCAGGACACGAACGGGATCCGTCATGAACTTGGTCGTCATATCCAGCACATCGTATGGGAGTGTAGCAGACACCACAACGACCTGCGTCGCGGGGGGCAGGTAGCGGTAGACATCGTAAATTTGTTCACGGAAACCGCGGTTGAGGAGCTCATCAGCCTCGTCGAGAACGAGCATCTTGATATGGCGAGTGCGCAGGTTTCGGCGACGGATCATATCGGCCACACGACCAGGAGTTCCGGAAACAACGTGCTGGCCGTAATCGAGCTTGCGAATATCCTCGCCAATGTTGGTACCTCCGATACAGGCATGACACTGAACGTTCATGTAATCACCGAGAGCCATGACGACGGATTGAATCTGGGTTGCGAGTTCACGAGTCGGGGACAGGACCAGAGCTGTACCAACAGGTTGCGGTTAGAAGCATACTCACTCCAATCGGACGAAAGTCCACGTACCTTGAGTCTCGCGCACAACAGTATCAATGACCTGCAAAGTACTGATAGCGAATGTAGCGGTTTTACCAGTACCGGACTGGGCCTGGGCAATGGTGTCACGACCTTTGCAGATCTGAACAATCGCACGCGATTGCACGGCCGAAGGCGATTCGTATCCGTAAGCGTAAATTCCACGAAGCAGGCTCTCCTTCAGGTGCATATCCTCAAAGGTGGGCGCCACCGTCACCTCCTTGGAGGTGCTAAACTCCATGCGCTCTGCTTGCTGTTAGTCTGGTTCACTTTTCTCAGGTTGAGGTCACATACCCTCGGCGCGTCTGTCGATTCCGTCCGCCATGATTGGAATATGAGTAGTTCAACGGCGGGCAATAAATGAAATCGGGATTCACGACAAGTGAAAGCCTTGGGAAGTGAAGTCAACCACCCAACTTTTCGCGGTGGAAGTGGTAAGGGTCACATGACCTTCCCGCGAGCTTCAGCTGCCATCGCCAACTTCTTTTCGCGATCACTACGTTACGTTTTCCACACTCATTACGTGCAGCCAAAATAGAAACTAGCACCGCTGTCGCACTCACAAAATGTTGCTCGAAGATCAACGATACCTCCACGAGGATCTGGAGCGGTTAGAGCAGGCTATCGCTGATCGCGTGGCGGAGGAGCCCCGAAATGTGAGTCTACGCCGAGAAACGTCCGTTACATCGTTTGCTAATAGCAAATTTTACAGGTCCGCGAACGTCTAGCCCGTGATCATGAAGTTGCCAAATTCCTTGACAGAATTGAGGAACAATCGAAGCGACTCCTCGAAATCTACAAGGATGCCGATGGACTACGGGAGAAGGAAGTGCAGTCAATTTCTACCGGCGATCAGTTTGAAGAATTCTACAATCAACTCGGCGAGATCAAAGACTTCCACAAGCGCTATCCCAATGAACCTACCGAGAACCTTGAGCGTGCATACAAGCGCCATGAACCCGGCGAAGGCGAGTTTATGGGTATGGAGATCGACAATATGTTTACTGGTGAAGAAGGATTCGGACAGTACCTTGATCTTACGAAACCTCATGAGGACTATCTGAACCTTCCCGGGGCAAAGCGGTTGACCTACACCCAATATCTCGACATCTTCGACATCTTCACACCACCCACCCTGTCAATCAAGCGGAAAGACAAGATCACCGACCGGTACTTTGGTTATGTTGGGGAGCTTGCCAGCTATCTAGAGAACTTCTTGAAGAAAGTGAGACCGCTAGAAGATCTGGACAAACTTTTCGCTGGTTTCAATGAACAATTCGAAAAGCAGTGGGCTGCGAAGGAGATCCCGGGCTGGTCTGAGGAAAAGTCTGAAAACGGCACCTCCGGTCCGACAACTGAAGGAACTGGCGAGGGCATTTGGTGTGCAGACTGTGAAAAGGAGTTCAAGAATGAGAACGTCTACCGGAATCACTTGACTGGCAAGAAGCACATTCGAGCAGCAGAAGCCCGCAAGTCTGGTGAGGCGCCATCCGCCGCCGCAAGCAAGGGAACATCTGCAGCCTACAGTATGAAGGAACGTGCAGTCGCAGAACGTGAACACCGAATCCGTTGCTTGACAGATGTCCTGAAGACAGAGCGACAAGCGACGAAGATCAACGTTGAGCGCCGACAGGGTATGACCGAACGTGAACGTCAAATGGAATTGGAAGCTATCCTGGCCGAGCCCGAGAGCGCGGGCGCCGAGGGGGTCAAGCTGGGGATGAGTCGGACGGTGACGATGAGGAGCGTGTTTACAACCCATTGAAGTTGCCCCTAGCTTGGGACGGCAAACCCATTCCATACTGGCTTTATAAGCTCCATGGTCTTGGAGTTGAATACCCTTGCGAGATCTGCGGAAACTACGTGTACATGGGTCGACGGGCGTTCGATAAGCACTTCTCCGAGTCCACTCACATCTACGGTTTGAAGTGTCTGGGCATCACATCGAACACTAATCTCTTCCGAGAAATCACCCGAATTAGTGAGGCCATGGCCCTTTGGGATTCGCTTGAGAAGGAGCGGAAGAAGGACAGAGACTCTCGCGATAATGTGGTTCAGATGGAGGATGCTGAGGGCAATGTCATGCCCGAACGAATCTACTTGGAGTATGTATATTCTTCTCCCTCTTCGCCTGTCACCGATACTAACATATTGCAGTCTGCAAAAGCAGGGTATTCTCTGAGCGAAGACAGATATCATTTTTCTTTCCAATACCATCAGGCGTCTTTCATCTTATCCAAAAGGCCCGGAGTTTGGCGAATGTTTACTTCTCTGGGCAGGGACTCACAAGCCTGTCACAACCGGGACTTTGTTTCGTTTTGGTGTACAATTAGCAATTTATGATCTACACTGAACATTCAACACTCCATATCCAGTCGTAATTTTTTAGCCGTTAAGTCGGAGAAGTTTTACACCCCAAAATTCCAGCTTTGATGAGTAGCTACGTATTATATTCCCCTGTATCTCAATACCTCCATGGTCGATAGAGACCAGTTCCACCCAGTCATCGACGAGGTAAGCTTGGCAGATAACCGCTACTGATCCGTATTTCATATGTCTATATCCTTTGCAATTCTGTCCCTATGATATTCATATTCATCACTAGCTGCCAGTCTCTTGCAATGGTTCTTACTGGGTCAATTTCGTCCACTTTAAGATCAACATTTCCAATGTTCCAGTCTTCATCAGCGTCTCATCAATAGCCGAACGTTTAGGGATTGCAGACTCGGCAGCAATATCTTCCCTTGATGGAGATTCCTTGATGCATTTTCATCTTCGTCAGTTGTCCTTTCTGACCTTTCACAGCTGGGAACCAGGATATCCGCTGCCTTTTGATTGAAGCTTTGTCCGGTTGCTCGCGGAGATCTTGCTCTTGTAGGGCGTCGTTCATAGCCAGCCTCTCGCTGTTGTAATTGATAAAAGCATGACGAGGCTCAAGTTTTGATCTTGTAATGAGACCTTTTCCGGAGTCGTTCTTTCGGTCTGAGTTTACCGATTCCAGAGGATTGGAAGGCTTTTCCCCTTCAATGCTTAATTGCCTACCCTTCTGAGTGGGAGAAGAAGGGTTCCTTGACTCGCGAACAAACTTGTTGGAGCCACTGCACACGTCGCTATCATCAGAATATGGCCTGCGTCGCTTGGCTGCGGCTCCCCGCTTCTCATAGTACCTCATCTGGTTGCCTATGCCTCGAGGCGTATGGCCCAAGTGGTGGGAGAGCTGGACCAGGAGCGGCATTCACAAACAGGCTAAGATACGAGAGGGATAGGTACTAAGTGGAATAGGTGACCCCGATAGATGGTGGATAGCCGTAGTGGCTTTCTGATGGAACACTCCCCGGCTCAGGATTTCCGTAATCTATCAAGCCCGGCGCGTCGCGAACAGGATCGGGATACCTTTCGGGGGAGCCAATGGCACGGTTGCGATCCCTCAAAAATATCGTCCTGAGCTCACGGGCTCTTGATATTGCTTCTCTTTCTTGCGCTTCTCATAAAGTCATGTTACTGCAGTGGTGCCCAGGCCAGCGCCTACAATTGGGAGGGACTTCCTTGGACGACTGTGTGAGCGTCCAGGCTCACCTCCACGATTGCTGGTGAAAGGATGATGTCCATTGTTGCTGTTCCACTCCCGCTCACTATAGAACCAAGTATTCTTGACTTTGAAAAACAAGTCGTCGAACAACTGCCTTGATGCATGGCCATATACATCCTGGAATCAAACAGCTTCTGCTAGATGTACATCCACAATGCCTGCCGTTTCTGATTCTCAGATGTCTGCTTTGTTCCAGGTCCGGCCCTAGGAATACAGCAGTGATTTTCCCTGCCCCACGCCAGGGGGGTTAAGTTTTGGTACCTTGATCATACTTCTCAATCGCGGTGTCGATTTGTTGAAAAACTGCTGTGCATTCCTGCAAGACCTCTTGTGCTGTAGAGAACGTCTGCTGGGAACATATTTTCGCCTTATCATCCTCCTCAATGACCTTTCCAAGCCGGTTAAGGGCACTGTAAGCGAGCGAGAGGTCGCTTGAAAGGCCTTGTAGTGACTGTTTGGCCACTCTAACAGTGCGATAGAAGCTACAGAGCTTGACTGACAATTTGACGCCAATATTTGCTAGCTGAAGTATGCTGGCGTCGACCTCAACTCTCTAGACCTGACATGGCATCGTTTTTGGGCTGAAAGTACAACTCTCATGCTGAATTGGAGAGGTTCCCTATATACATTTGCGCCGGGAAGCACCCGGGCGCAGTGAGGGGCTAAGCAAGTGGCAGTGCATGGCACGCCCGGATGTAACACCGGCGGTACGTGAACCAAAGTAGCTGATCTTGATTGTCTGAGGACTTTTGGGGAAACAGGCCACTCGAAGCCTGCAAGACGACGGCCAAAGCTCGAGATAGAAATACATGTACTCGGGGTATCTGTTATGCAATCAGTGGCATTATCTGTCGATTCCAAGAGATACGGTACGCGCTAGTTCTACGATAGACCAATGGTCGGCCTTATAGCATAGAATGAGTGTAATTGCTAGAACTAACTTGGCGGGCGAATATTGGACCCAATATGCGCTGACCAAGCATGCAAAGGCTTGGCAGACAGCTTGGCAAGAAGCCGTTCTATAACGTAGCAAGTGAATAAGCAAGTTCAGTGATGTTGCAAAAGTATTTGACCTCCGATATTTCTACGACCCACTTTTTATTACTGCCTGGCAGAAAATTACTGGTAGTATGTAAACCATATGTCGTAGCTTTAGTAAGGTAGTCACGCTTTTTTCCAGCCTATAAAAGACATAATTAAATAAGAAAATCACGAAATATGCTTTAAAATGCGTTGATATGTAGCGTATGTACTAGCGTGTTAAGGATTGATAGACTGATATAGTAGGCGGTCTAACTGGCGGTTAGAGCCAGAAGTACCGGAGGTCAAATACTTTTGCAACACCACTGTAGGTGCTGTAAAACTCAGCAAGCTAGTAATGTAAGTGCACTTCCTTATTCGACATTATCCCTTCTGCTAACATAGAGAAGTCATATCACTATTGTCAACAGATCTTCAATGTTTATCTGCGTCAAGCTTATATATGTAGCAGCACTAAATAGTCCCTTTTCCACTCCCCCAGTGCTCTCTCACAATTTTCATCGTCATAGCTCGTCATAGCCCTAACTTGGAGACCACAGTGCGACTATACTAATTACTTAGCAGTAATTTTCCAGACACTGGCTGTTTATAAATAAATAGTTTGGAACCATAATAAATAATAGAATTTTCGCCTCGATCAAAAAGAATAAAATTGCGAATACTTCGGAAAAGTAAAAAAGATAATCGTCAGCTGTAGGATTCGAACCTACGCCCGCGAACGGAATTGATAACGAGAAGTCCTACAGACTACTTAAAGTCCTGATGGGAACCGCAAGTTCGAGTCAATCGCCTTAACCACTCGGCCAAACTGACCACAGATGATAAAAACCTTCCCAGTTGTGAAGTCATGAGCGAAAGAACAAATTGGACGCTTCATTTTTAGACCACACAGCTATATATATATGTTTCCCTTCGCTATTTACTCACCACTTATCGGATTTCAATATATGATTAGAATTAAGAATTTGGAACTCAGTATTAATTTATTATGCGTTATCAACTAAGGCTAGGTATAATGGATAGGTATGAAAAAGTGCAGCAAGTGTGGAGATGGGGAATGTGCAAAGGACCAGTCAGAAGATATCTTTAGCTAGCATGTTAGTCAGTCAAGGAGTGACAAAAAGTAGCCTTGGAAGTGTCCTACTAAAATGCCACCCGGCTAAAATAACCTTACGGGCCCTCCTCCCGTGCCCTGCAATGGTCTAACCCTGTTAGGATAATAATTTTATTACACTATCTGCTTACTGATATGATGATATTTCCAAAATCCACCGGTTCCTACCTGAGAGGAAACATCTATTGTCTAACCGGGATGCAGATCGATGGGAGGAGACCCCGCCTACAGCATTCCTTCCTCTCGTCCGGTCTTAGGCTTGCTCCGTTGATTGTGTACAGATACAGAACGAAATACTAGGAGATAGCTTACAGCTAGTAATTATTTTAAGTAATTTAAATATAAATAAAAGAGGTTCTATTAATGAACTATCTCAACCTTTACTACTTGCATAAAACAATTTGTTAGTTTAGATCATTATTTAATTGTACACCATATCAAGAAAAAAAATCTGCTTTTGAGTGTAGTTTTCATCCTTTTTCATATTTGCTTTATTGTTTTTATTATTTGTTTTAGAAATATCATTAGGATTTCCCTATGTAGTTGTATTATGGTCTTACCCAAGCGAACTTGATCAAAATATTAGAAGTATTCTGCTCTTTGACCAATCATAATCGAGCTAAGCGCTAGCTGCAGAGGTCATGTGATTTATTGTCACCTGACTGTCTCCGGGTCCACTTGACTGTCATTCCGACCAGCACTCTTAGGAGATTACGGCAAAAAGAGAAAATGTCAAAAAATAAATCGTCAGCTAGAGGATTCGAACCTCTGCCCGCGAACGGAATTGATTTCTAGTCAATCGCCTTAACCACTCGGCCAAACTGACAATGGGCTGTGGATTTTTCGAATAATTGCTATCAGGAGGGATCGCTCACTCAACTGACTGGCAAATGGCAGATAGCTTGCGTTAAGTCAACGAGCAAGACACTTTCGAAGCTAGAAAGATCTAGACCCCATCTAAAAAGGTATTGATCATGCTTACAATACGTGTCGCATGTTGTGTTATCCTCTATTTTATCTGTCCATGATGTTACACGAATCCCCGATGACAAGAGAAGATGGGCATTGATATAACAATAGCTTGGGGGATAGTGATACCGACAGTAAGTGACATATATATCCTGTATCCTGTACCCCTTATCCCTTCAATGAATCCTTAAATAATCGCTTGCTAACTTTTTAATCCGAGAAGATTCTACATAAACGTGAATGTCATCTAAATCTCTTGGCTAATTATCGTAGTGCAATATATATATGCGCTAGTTGGTTACGATCAGAGCTAGTTGGGTCCCAAGACCAGTATTTATATGTTCGTGGGTAACTTTTGGGGCCTTTAGCCTGATAGGATGGTTTTGCTGGTGTGCGATATATGTGTAACTTGGGGCATAAGATAAGTGGACATCTAGAGATAGCTAGGCTTATAGTCTCACTCAATCTAATGGTGTTATGGTGAGATAGATGTGTTTGAATTTGATAGATGGTGGTAGATGGGCCGCTTACTTGTGGGAGCCGCAGGTATGTAGGTTGTGTTACGGCTTTTTATCTCGATATAAAGAAGCTCCAACTGTGACTTATTGTTAGCCTATGGTCATCTTCTTACGTTCTATGTAGCAAATGTATAGATTGTTTACATATCGGGTTGGGAAACATTATGTGTTAAAAATTGACCAAATCACTTCCATTGTCCGCCTATATATATATATGTATCAAGAAGATCCCATTAGGTTTGATTCCAGAAAATCACCAGCGGAGACAATGACGATCCATAATGAATAACTCGTGAATAGCTCCACAGTGATAATGAGCCTTTCTGAAATTGTACCGTAGAAGCCAACAGCATCATAAGTGATCGACACATCCAGCTAGTAAAACCCAAGCATATAAATATAGAGTTCCTCGCATAACAAACTAAAAACAAATACATAGAGGGGTTTGATATCGAAAGCAGATGGAATGATTATCTCATGTCAACTACATTATTAGACTCCCCCATCTGTGCCCGGAATACTAGAGCGGTTGCCAACCATTCTAGGACTAGGAACTCCACAACTTTATACCACAAGATTATTTCACACCAAAACACATCAAAAACATGAAAATCACTAGGGAGAAAATGTGCCCCTAGAACGGATTCAAAATTATAGCAGGAAATACCTGGTCCATACACAGAGGTTAAAGAAGAGACCAACACGCCCAGAATTTCGCATTGGATATTAATTAATACGCTGTGAAATATAAGCTTGCCAATTTGGCTATACAGATAGTATAATCCCATTCCCATAGGGAATTGTAGTATAGGGTGTCGTATCAGCCGACAGATTTAACTTGGTTCGATGTTTGCAATGTCGAACACTGAAGTGATTAACCTGTAGGAGATGTTGCCTGCTGATCACAAATATTTCCAAAATATACAATCCTTTGTCAGTTTGGCCGAGTGGTTAAGGCGATTGACTAGAAATCAATTCCGTTCGCGGGCAGAGGTTCGAATCCT